ATCTAGTGGTATTCTTCTCGAAGAAATTAGACAATACTCAGCAAAAGTGGCTTGCCTATAACAAAAAGTATTTATAATGGTCAAAGAGCTCAAGGAGTGGCAACACTACCTTAGGAAGCACTTCAAAGTTTATATAGATAATGTAGTAATAAAACACTTTTTGTCATACCCTAACTTACGAGGAAAATAGGATTGGTGGGCCAATGCTTCAGTCGAATTCGAATACGAAATTCTATATAACTTAGGAAGAGAAATATTGTAGCAAACACTCTAAGTCAAAAAGCAAGTTTAAAGTTGGTGATATCTAGTGCAACAATAACCTTTTGGGATAATGTGCGAATAGTCTGTAAAGACGATGGTCTAGCACAAAAAGTCTTGCTAAGGAACTATGAGGCGTGGGAGGCTCATCAGAGAGGCGAGCTACCTACAGAAGAGAAAATGGATTATATAAAACACAATGAACTCATTTATTATAAACAAGCAAGGGTGTATGTTCCACAAGGGGAACTAAAGAAAGTAGCCTTAGAAGAGTGTTATAATAGACTTCTTACAAGATATGGTAGAGTGCCCAAGATGATGGGCTTATTGAAAAGGAAGTATCATTAGCCAAACATGACTAAGGACATTTAAGATTATATAAAGAGATGTTTAATATTTTAGCAAATAAAAGCCATGACTAAGGCTAATGAAGGTTTGTAACAAAGTCTCCTAAATCGTGAAAATGTTTTATGATGGACTTCATCATGGGATTCCCCCTTAAGTGAGGGGTTTAATATGATATTCGTGTTGGTGGATTGATTTTCTAAAATGGCACATTTCATACCCACCACAATGGAAGTGGATGTAGAAGGTGTGGCGAAACTATTCTTTAATTAAATGGTTTGAGTGTGGGGAAGGCTAGAAAAAATTATTTCAGATTAAGATAAGATTTTCACCAATAAGTTCTAGAGAACTCTCTTAGAACAGTATTGCACTAAGCTAAAATTTAGCACAACTTATCATTCACAAAAAGGTATTGGGTATTGAGTCAAGTATGATGGCAATGACACTTCTTAATAGATGAATAAATGGACTGGGTGAATAGGCAATTAGGGGATTATTTACAGTCTTATGTCTTTAAAGACCAAACTAATTGGGTAAGTCATTTAGGACTTATGGAAATATGCTATAACAATTCACCACATTTGAGTATCGGGGTGAGTCCATACGAAATCATCAATGGGTGAGCTATTGAAGATCTCATGAAACTTGGTGTAGTTGAGTATTATAGAGAGTTACCCATAGTGAAGGTGTTCACGATGGAAAGATTCAACATTTAGAATTTAGTAAGGGATTCTTTGGAACGAGTTTAACAAAGGCAAACCAAATATGCAAAATAGAAGCGCCAAGACGTAAAGTTCTAACTTGGGGAGAAAGTGTGGTTAAACACCAAGAACCTAAGATTAATAAGTGGGATCAACTGGAAATTGACCCAATGGTAAAATATATGTATTTCTAAAAATAAATTGATTTTGAGTTCCTTAAGTGAGTTCACAAAACTTTATGTGATTAAGGCTTGAATTGGTAAGGTGGCTTACCACCTCTAACTTCCCCAAAAGCTGGGAAAGATGCATCTTGTGTTCCAGGATCGAGTCTGAGACCGAGTCCAAGATTGAGTTTGAGACCAAGTCTAAAGTCAAGTTTGAAATCAAGTCCAAGATTGAGTCTGAGACCAAGTCTGAATACTTGGGGTAAAGGCATAAAACAATTGTTTCCCAGCTGGAAAAGGTTGTAAAAGTATAGTAGGGATAGTGAAGTCTATGAACTAGTCTTGAAGGAACTCTTCAATAGTGTTTCCAAACTGACTTAAGGTTGAAATTGGGGGTTAGAGGCCTTAGTGAAAGTGAGCATGGACTCAAATGGTGCCATAGAGGCCATCCAAGGAAATGCTTAAAAATAGCTCCCACTCCTAGAAAACAAACCAATTGTGGTGCTCTTGGCTCAAGTGCAATGATGCCTCACTTGAGTACTATGTGACTCATTGGTCCTTGCTCCTTCCCAGAGGTTTGGGCTTTCCTTTCGGGATGGAAGTGGGGGAGTACAGGTATCTATACCAAGCTATTATGCCATAGTATTTCTTCCTAGTCGAAGTAAGAGATGCATCTAAGATTTGGGATTTAAAGGGTGTAAACTTTTGAATTTGGACTTTCTAAGAAGTCACCCAGCCCAGTACTATTTAAACCTAAGGACGCTTAACCCCAAATATCCCAAGACCCTTAACCGATTAGAAAAGGGGGTGCACTTTTGTTGATAGGCCATTTCCCTCTATATTTGAACCCCATGGATCGTCTTTCAAGTTGTTCTTTTTAATTGCTTACAGAGGGTCCCATGATAAAATTTTGGTGTATTAAGGGATGTTAGGAACTTGGAGGCTTGGTGTGCTTGACTGCTTATGCATATGGAGAGTGTAGTTGAATTTTAAGTCTAATGTAACTCAAGGAGGGGGATTGGGAGAGAATTTGAGAATTTGTAGATAGATGGCTGACACTCTATTGCTTGTGCAGTGAGTAGCTAAAACTAAGTAGGATCAAGTAAAAGCTAAAACAATAGGTAAGAACCTTGGCAATAGAATTTAATTAAGGCCAGGGTAGTGGTGGTCAAATAAATAATATGGCAAATTAGAAAGGAAAATTTTATGGTTTATATGACCCCTTCATTTTTTTTTCAAGAGCACTATCAAGTCAGCACTAATTCATCTAGTATTTACTTTCCTATGTTGCCATTTATAATTGTGTTATATGGTATAACTAATTTTTATTCTTTATGGCAATAGATGTATATATACATATGCACGGGATGAGGTAAACATAATTATATGTGTAAATTATCTCAAGCTTGGAGCTTCAATCATTGGGGTCAAGCTTTTGACCTCATCCTTGATATAGATTGGTTGTAGCATAATAATGCTAAGTATAAATTTGATCTCCTTTTTGTTTTATACTTTTTTATTTTTCTTCTATTCCTCTTATTTTAGTTCCATTTCATTCCTTTGTTTTTACATTTTCTTCCACCACTTTTGTTTCCCTATTACTTCCTATTTGCTTTGTTTTACTTCTTTATTCTATTTTTATATCCCCCTAATAGTTTTTGTGTTGTAGCAGTAATTTTGACATATTATTTAGGGTCAAGATTGCAACACATCATCCTTTATAACTAAGGATACTCGTCCAATCAAGGTTCATATTCAACATTAGTCACAGAAGGAGATTAGAATTTTATACACTAATGTCAAAGAGATATTGGAAAAAAGTGTCATTTGAAAGTCTCAAGATTAGAAAGTACATATCCGAGATAGTCATTTTAATAATAATTGATGTAAAATTGAATACTCCTTTTAGACTTTGTCACAAAATAAGATTCACACACCCAATTCACCAAGTTAGATTTTGTTTCTAAATACTGATATAGTGCCAATAAAGATGTTCCCAAAATTGTTTTTGGTACACTATTTAGTTTGTATAAGTTTTTGATAATGTTGTTCAGTTTAGATAATATTTTGATGACTTTTTGATGGATGATAAATGAGGTTCTTTGTGAAATGTTAAAAGTGATTACTTACTTCATCAATAATGTTTTGATTCACTTAGAAGGCATGTAGAAGGAGCACATTTATAATGTTCATAAGGTGTTAAATTAGTTGCAAAAAGTTAGTTTAAAGTGAAGTAATCAAAATGTGTGTTTAGGTCCAAGAACACAACTTATCTTAACATATACTAGTAAACATGGCAATCAGTGCTATCTAAGAGCTATATTTAGTGTAAGTGTGCTCTTGTTTGTCAAGAAGCTCATCCTCCTTTTTACCTCACTCTACATGCAATGATTTTTCTTTCTCTTTCCCCAAAAGCAATTTGATTGATGGATTGATTTAAATACACCCTTCTTTTATAATGATATATCCCAAGAGATACACCTTACCCTTCAAGATTCTAAGAAGATTTTGAGGAGTTGGCCATCCTAGCCATCAATCCAGCACTTACCTCTTCCCCCACATACTCCATGCTCACTCATTGTTTCTAGACAATACACCAATATATCACACAAGCATGTGAGCATAGCAAGTCACTACTATCTAGACATTACTATTAGTCTGAGTGTGCTCTTTTATGTCAGGAGGCTCATCCACTACCTCACTTTCTATTCAAGGATCTCTCTCTTTCCCCAAAAACAATCTAATTGATTCAAAAATACATCCCCAAGATATACCAAGAGCATGCCTTTTCATTAAGATACCCTTCAAGATTTTAAATAGATCCTTTTTCAACTTAGTCTCTAGGAGTTGGCCATTCTAGTGCCTCTATACCATTCAAAAAATCAAAGTTCATTCTAAATCAGATGAATCTATTATTAATCTTGCTAGATTATAAAGGTGGAATACAAAATTTAAGTTCACCATTTTCATATTTTAGGAAATTATTCATTTCTATATGTGATTCCATAAATTTCCCCTTTTCTCTAGTTGCACATATTAGAACTAATAAAGTATCATACATTTCAGCAGTACAAGAATCTATAAAGCCACTTCCTTTCACTAAACCTCCATCATTATTCCCAAGCACTTTGTCGAGATCATAATACTGATCATCTGAATACTCTTTTTCATTATCTCCCCTGCACCTAACATGGATCCATTGCCTAATAAAACTAATTTCTATGCAATAGAATTTAAAATTTCGACACACATCACCCTACAAAAGTAAATGTTACTCATTAAACAGAATAAATTTTACACTTACAATAGCATAAGAGGTGAAAAGCATGAATCCTAAAAATAATTTCAAAGCTGTATTCATATTTATTAGTGTGTGATATTACCGATAAGAGCATAATTATTTATCACAACTCAGTAACAATAGTGTAAATGATAGGTCCAATGCTTCTTATGGTAGCACAAGTGGCAGTGAACAACCTAGCAATAATATATATAATGGTATATTCTTTTTTATATGCAACCACAAGTTTAGGGTTCTTGAGGTAGTGGGCGCTTTTGCCCCAATGGGAGCTTGATGTAGGGAGCTTGCTAGAATCGTCCAACCGTTGATCCATTCTAGTGCTTGCTCTAGAAACCTAGAAAAATGGGCGAGAATTAGGTCAGTGATGCGAATGTGATGAATGTGGATTCTGGAAGCGCTGCAGGCGATTCTCTGGCCATCGCAGCATCAGCAGCAGCGGATGGATGCGATCGCAGCGAGTCCAAGCGATGCGAAGCTCTTCTCCAAGGTGAAGGGATTCTACGATCTGGGAAAGCAGGAGCTGGAGAAGGCTGTCCGGCACGAGGAATTTGGCTTGCCGCAGGATGCGATCTCTCACTACAAGAACGCGCGCCAGGTGTTCATAGAGGGCAGCTCTGCGCCCTCGGCTGTGGATTCTAACAGCAAGTAAGTTAGTGGAGAATTTTATAGCGAGATTTCTCTTGTTTGTCGTCAGGTATGCTAGTGAGATTGCGAGCTACAAGGGGAAAATGCGCAAGTGGCAGGAGGATTGCACCGAGAGACTGCGTGTTTTGGAGAACCGATCGAAAGTTTCTAGTCAAGTAAGATTTTTGTGTTGGAAGTTTAGAACTCTTTGTGACTAACTTTCTACGTCCTCAGCCCGTCATTCAAAGTCAGGTATTTTGTGATTATTTCTTCTCGTCTTTCGTTTTTGCGAACCTCGGAATTTTACAGCCACGGCCCAAAGAAAATGTTCGTTGTAACTCGGCGCCGGATCGTTCCAATGGAAGGACGGCTTCTATCAAAGGGATTGATCCTAAGCTTGCTGCAATCATCGAAAATGAGATTGTCGATCGCAGTCCATCTGTAAGGTGGAATGATATTGGTGAGTTTGTCGTGTTTTTTTTTTCTTGCGTGAATCTTGGTACCTGTTGCAGCTGGACTTGCAAAAGCTAAGCAAGCTTTGATGGAGATGGTCATTCTTCCTACGAAAAGGAGTGATCTTTTCACGGACCTTCGGAGACCAGCTCGAGGTCTGAAATAAAAGCCGCGATGTTTTTAGTCTGACGCGCACTTTAACTAACAGGATTGCTTCTTTTTGGTCCTCCGGGGAATGGAAAGACAATGCTAGCCAAGGCAGTGGCATCTGAGTCTACTGCGACATTCTTTAGCATCAGTGCTTCGTCATTAACTTCAAAATGGGTAAGACTTTCGATCAACAGTTTGTAAGGATCTTAAACTTAGTTTCTGCGCAGGTTGGCGAGGCGGAAAAACTCGTTCGAGCATTGTTCACGATTGCGCGCTCCAGACAACCAGCATTTATCTTCATCGACGAGGTATTGTGGTGCTGCAAACACGACTCGTTTGACTTGGAAGCTTTTCCAGATAGACAGCATTTTGTCAGCGAGATCGGCGAATGAACACGATGCTAGCCGCAGGCTCAAATCAGAATTTTTGAGCCACCTTGACGGGCTCCCCTCGAACAAGGACGATCGAATCGTTGTGATGGGTAAAGCGCGCGGTAAAACTTATAATTTGCCGCTGAGCTGAGAGTTTGTTTTGTCACAGGTGCTACCAACAGGCCAGAGGAAATAGACGATGCAGTACGGAGACGTCTCGTAAGTAAGCTAGCCACAACTTTTTTCTTAGTTCTTTGTCTTGGTTTTTCTCTGCAGGTGAAGAGAATATACGTCCCACTACCGGACTCTGATGGCCGCAGGTCACTCCTACAAAATCTTCTCAAAGGACAGGCCTTCAGCATGTCAAGTGGGAAAGTTTTACCCTTTTATTTTTTTTTCCTCGCGCTGAATCCTTCGTTTTTCACAGGCTCTGACTTGGAAAAGCTCGTGAAAGACACAGATGGTAATGTCGTTGTTTCTGGTAATGTCGTTCTTTCTTAGTGTGGGAATGGCAGGGTATTCTGGTAGCGATCTTCGTGCGCTATGCGAGGAAGCAGCGATGATACCAATTCGCGAGCTTGGTCCACTGGTGGAAACGATTCGTGCGAGCCAGGTTTGTTTCTTCTTCTTCGTCTACTTGTTGGGAGTGACACTGCGATTGTCAGGTTCGTGGCCTCAATCTGGGAGATTTTAGAGAAGCGCTCAAAGCGATCCGGCCGAGCGTGTCGAGAGAACAACTGCAGCATTTCGAGCAATGGAATCGCGACTTTGGCTCCACCTAGAGATAAAAGAAAGAAAAGGTTCTCTCATTGTAAATAGCTGCGATTACTTGAAATCCACTTTGACGCATAAAGCTATACGAAATTCTCACAAATTCCTTGCCTGTTTTTCTCGTGGTAGATCGAATTCGAGCACAGGAACAAAAAGTTGGCGCACGAAACCCCGTCTCTTACATGTTCTTTCATTAGGAACGTTCTCACGTCCTTCGGCGCTTAGTGGTGGTACTGGTAGTGGCCTTCGTGCTTGGACGTCTCTTTCGCGAGGTCTGCAACAACAAAGCAGAATAAGAGATGAAAAGAGAAAGACGCTCTCCTTACATTGTCGAGCTCAAAGAGTTCGTCCGCAAGCTCCTCCTCGGCGGCCCTCTTTTTTTCTTGCTTGATCTCTTCCTCTATATCATCAAAGTAGCTCGTCTCTCTGCGAAAGAACAAAAAAGATTACTAGAGTCCAACTTGTCTTCTCGCCATAGCCTTACCGATATGCCTCTGAAGCAAACGGCACAAACGCGTGGAAACTGTTGCCAGGAACTGCGCCAACCTGTGGATCAAAGCATACCACCGTTAACTTGACGTGATATAACCAGCCAAAGTTCATACTCTGCGGAAGCTCTTGAAGTTGATTCCGCTCACTTCAGGCCTTTCGTTTTGCGGCTGTTGGACAACCAGTCCCACGACGTATCTGACTTCGCCATACTCCTTGTCAATCGCTTCACCGTAGTCTTCCTTCTCCTTCACACTTTTTGCTGTAAATGTCGTCTTACTTCTCGCTAGTGGGGCAGTATCGCGTTCCAACGATTCCAGCTTACTTGGTTCGCCTGTTTCAAAGTAAAAATGTTAGCCAGTGCACATTCTTCGATCACGTTTCTACCGTTTCCTTCGTCCTTCATACTTTCGCTTGTGGCTGCTTTGGGCGATGAACCAACGCATTTTTGAGCTGTGGGAGATTCAGCCGATGACTCGAGTGCTGCAGGTAGCAAATAGTAGTCGGCCTTAAAACACAACATATCTTACCAACAGTCTTGCCCTTCGCCTTCGTACGCGATACTGGAGGAGATGTTTCGCGTTTGATGACCTCGGGTTGTTTTACCCGTTCCTTGATGTTCTGTAAGGTTCGAGAAGTGAGCTCTCTTTTTGAAATAGAAAAATAACGATTACTTTGGGAGGAGTCTCGGCCACGGAGTCGGAATCATCGTCAGAGTCCTGGAGATCAACAGTCGCGTCCGTAGATTGGCTTTCTGCAGGGCCTGAAAACGAAGATATATTAAACTGTACTACAGCAATGCAAGTGCATACTTTGCTGGACGTAAAAAGCAGAGATGTCTTTGCATCCACTCAAGATGCCAAGTACCAAGCTTTTTTCTCTAATTCTTTGAAGATGTTGAAAGCTTGTGAAGTCTTCCTCCGCTTCAACGAAATGAGGAACAATGAGGATTTGTTGCTGCTTTGAATTCTGATAAAAACAACATCAATAATAATACAAAACTGATTCGTCCAAGTTTAGGTACCTGAACTTTTTTCTTGGAAATAAGCTGTAATGTTCCTCCGGCAGCAGTGACAATCGATGATAAGTTTTTGTTGCAATAATACTGAGACAACACATTATTAGCATAATTCTGGCTTACTCAACGTTCGGACCTTGTGAAGAGATGTAGCTAGAAAGGCTATGCCCTCGTAAGTCGACAAACGAGAACCAGGCTGTACAACTTTCACATCTGAGCCATCACCTTCATCTAGCTCAAACTTCAGAGTAGGAGTATAGCTAAAATCAAATGCATCAAATGAGTAGTTGTTAATATGACAATGCTTCACCTGGAGCACTTTGGAATCTCTTGTACGGGTCCACCGGAGCTCGCAACATTCTACAAGAAAGCAGATAGTTCTACCGAAAGAAATCAAACATCAGAAAAGAGAAGAAAAGAAGTACCTCCAGCCATTTCAATGACACGACCGGCTTTTGTTGGCTCACTGCCATCAAAACCATTTCTGTCACGGAGGAGCCATCCTCCACAAGCAAGTGAGTGCATTCCTCGTCCCATTTTTCCACACAGCGTGCCCCTTGAATGATCACACCAGACTTCAGCTCTACTTTCTTCAAGAAAATCTTACCAAAAGCAGTGTTTGCCTTTGAGATCACATTGCGAGCCTGGGACGCTGAAACGCAGAAGAAGAAATGCTCGTACGTGGCCCTGGAAACACCGAGGCAAAATCAGCAAAAGCAAAACCAAGAAAGAACTAGAGGACCTAAAGGTACTGCTACCCGTTCCAAACGTGATCTCATCCCCATCCTTTACAGGAGCTTCCTTGCCTTGCAGCTCCAGCACAGGCCTCGCTCGTCCTCCTCCAGCCCCCTTGTTGAGAAACGTCCCAAACTTGGACAAATCCCTCACGATCGCTTCGCATTTCGTCTCGCCAGGAGGCAATGGGAGCACCACGAACTCGGCGTGGACGCGCGACACGGTCTTGTCCGTGGCGATGCACACCGCGCAATCTGCCGGCACGAGAGAAATATTTCGATCTAGCGGACCAAGAAATCGATCGATTCTACCTTTCCTGCCGATCTTGTAAGCGCCGGGCGCCGTGAAACAGTAGCTCCGAGCATCTGCCGAGAGATCTGAGAGGAGAATCGCGAGAAAATAAACTCACCGGCAGAGGCATTCTTGAGGGCGCCAAGCTTCCAAACCATGGATGGATGAATGACAGCCCTAGTGACCTGGCCTCATAGTGACGTGGCCTCATACTGACGTGGCCTCATTATGACGTGGCGTCTATGCGACGTGGCGCCTTGGTGACTGATTAAACAATCATAAGAAGGAAGGATATATATGTACACAAACCACCAAAAAGAATGGAACACAAAAATTGGTGTTTATAAGCTACTTACACTATGCGTTGTTTCTTTGCTTCCATGCTTGCTCGCTTGTTCTTCTTTGTTCTTGGTCATCCTTGTTCCCCCTCTTTGTTCTTTCCAGTGAAATTTGCTCAGTGGAAGCAAAAGCAGCCGGATCGCGTCTCGGTCGGGGTCATGCCCGAGCCTTTTCTCGTATCGATGGCTTCCAGGAGCTGGACGACTTCGCTCATGTTGGGTCTTCTATCCGGATTCGCGTCCCAACACTTTCGCATGATATTCGCTAGAGGAGGCGGGCAGCAGCCAGGGATGTTTGGTCTCAAGTCCTGAAAAGAAAAACCAAAAGAAACTCCTTAAAACTAAGAGCAAAGATCCGTAGCGATACCTGGTGCACAACCGCATATGTCATGTCTGCAAAGCTGTAGTCCGCAAAAGGCATGTCACAGCAGTAAATCTCCCACAGGCAGATTCCAAAGCTGTAGACGTCGCACTTTCGGTTGTAAGGTTTGCCATCTAACACCTGGATGGACCCGGGAATCAGTACTTAAGAGACAGTGACACAAAGTGGAGAGAAAAAAAAAAAAAGTCTTGCGTACCTCAGGAGCCATGTATCCCACCGTGCCAGTTTCGCCGGTCATGTCTTTGGGATTCTGAGCCTCGACGCGGGCCACCCCAAAGTCGGCGATTTTAACTCGCCGCTTATTGTCAAGCAGCATATTCTCCGATTTCACGTCCCTGTGAACTATCTTCTTAGAGTGAAGATAGTCAAGCCTGCAAGTGTAACTCAAAGCAAACGAACAAATGAAAAGAGTAGAAGAAAAAAAAAGAAGCGGCGAAAAGAAACAAAAAGGTACAACGAAGGACGAAAAAACTCACCCTCTGGAAAGGTCCAAGGCTAGCTGGATCACGACCTTGAGCCGGAGCTTCTTTCGACAATGCTGGATGAGGAACTGCTTCAAAGTTCCACCCGCGAGGTACTCGACGACAACGCAACAAATGTTCGAAGATATACGAACGAATCCACCGGTGGACGCGACTTGGAGATCCGGCGATCCGACGCAAGCTCCAACAAACTGCCACTTCCCAGTCAGTCATCTTCTACTGGTAAACACCCACCAAAAAATAATTCCAAGAACAAAAGCGAAGAACATTCACCTTGGTCACATTGGGATGATCCAACTTTTGCCAGACAGCCACTTCTTGTTGAAAAGAAGCACGTAAGGTGTTAACAAGAGCTTGTGACATTGCTTGTTCTTCCCCCCAGTCTAGTAGCTTCACTGGAATCAAAAACCAAAAGAAACAAGGGAAGAACAAAACAAATTAGAGGACCAATGTTATCGGATGCAGTGGAACTAAATGCGCGAGAAAGGAAAGAAATCTTTTTTACCCGCGACATCCTGGCCATTGTAGACGCCACGGTGCACAACTCCATAAGTTCCATGAGCGATGATGTCGTTGAGCTGGAGCTTGGCAATATCGATCTCCCATTCCTCCCTGACTCTGGGCCTGGATTGATTCGACTGCTCGCCGGGCTTTCCAGCGGCCGGGACCTTTATGTGCTTCTCCAGAGTAGCATCCAGGTCGAGGTCGGCGAGATTGAGCAGATCCGCGCGGACAAAACCCTTGCTCTGATCGGCTCCATGCGCCTTCGATTCCTCCATCCGAAATCCTGAAAATCCGACCTACTGGCAATTCACGTGCGAAGATCTGTGCCGGATCATCGACCCTCGCAGGAAGAACGCCAAAACCCTAAGACACTGTGCAAGAAAATATTTGGAAGGGAAATAGTAGGAGTCAATGAATTAAAGAGCTCACACAAACTCTAGCCCTAATGACGTGGCGTCCTAGTGACGTGGAGTAAACGTGGCAGACTTTAGACCCTTTTTGCTTTATTGACAGATTTGTACAGTTAATCGTGCTTAAGAAAATTGGCACGCTCGCAAAATTGTCTCTGGCAGTCCAAAAAAATTTCGAAGAGAGAATTGGCTCACCTCTTCCACTGTGAGCGTCGCTCAGTGTCTTTCATCACTCCCAGTGTGATGGATGAAAAGCTTCATCACTTCGTAGAAAGAAACTACAATGCTCACCGAGGGACCGGCTCGGGCAACGCGAGGGCCGACGCCGGAGAAGAGTCCCCTCAGCCCTTCATCCCTGGAGTTGGAACTTGCATCAATCTCTTGAACAACGACGAATTGGAATGCGAAAAACTCACCTCCAGATCGTCATCAGGACTTTGGCAGTGTTAGAATCCATTCGCTTGGAGGGGTCCTTCACAGTTGCCAGAGAAGAAGGTAAGATACCAACGAGCGAGGAAGAACCAACGTTTACCAGTATTTGCCGCCTCGTCTTGACAACGTCTAAAGGACACGTCGCTGCTGCAGCAATGCTCCCGGCCAGAAATCCACCACAAACGTTCGCGGTTAGAACGCTTAGTGCGCTATCCGAGCCAAGTCTTTGACGGACGCTCTTCCTAATCTGCGAAAGCTTGCGTCAAACAAGAAAGAAAAAAAAGAAAGTAAAGAGCTCCTTACAGGCTCTAAAATGCTCCAGCAAATCGCTGAGAAGGGCACGTCTCGAGCTAGTTGTGCTCCAACGCCCGTCCACAAGCCTCTGACCCTTTGGACTAAAGAACCGAGGTGAGAATGCAAGGAAAACCAATGGTATTGTAAAAGCACTTACGTGAGCCACCCGGTCGTTCTGAAGCTCCAGACATTGTAGCCCACATCCCCGGAGGACTCACACCTTGGCGAACCTCCTTATGAGCCTAAAACACGTAAAAACTTTCAGCTCTGCTTGTAATCGGCACAACGAAAACAAAACTCGACATGAAAAGAAAGAGCAAACCTGCATTCGCGTCCGAGCTAATTCAATGGGACCACAGACAATGCATGCCAGGGACCTCGCCACAGTACCAGCTATAAGCGGCGTGTATGGCTCAATGTGAAGAGCGTTTCTCTTGGAAACATCCTCCAGCCACTCGTGAAAGACATCATACACCGGCAAGTAGATCCCAACCTGTTCACGAGAAATGAACTTAGAGACCATCTTAGACCGGCAGAAGAGCGAACACTCACGGTAGGAACCGCAATGGCGAGTGCTGCGTCCGTGCCACGCCAGAGACGTAAGAATCCTTCCTGTTTCATTCGATTAGTCAATGCAACGTAAAAACACACTCTCGAAATCGTGCCTGTCGAACGACTTTGTAGAAAACATCCCAAGTTCCCTTGTAGCGGAAACAATCCGGGGGACACTGTGGAACTTCGGCAGGACCACCTCGTGGGCAGACGGGAGGACACTTTCCATCAAGCACCTAGAGAAAAGCTGCCATAAGCTAGGAAAAAAAGAGAGAAAAAATCGATTGCTTACCTGGTGCTGGAGAGAGTCTGTGATGTGATTTTGATACTGGACTCCTGCTGCTTGTGCCTGGAGCCTAGTCTACAAGGCAAAATCACAAGCTTAGCCATGGAAAACTTAAGAAAAGAAAAAGAGTACCTTCGCTACATCCAAAGGATTCACAATGACAGCTGACAGGAAAGCTGCGCCGGCCGCGGAGATCGTTTTCTCTTTGAAATTCACTTTGGGAGCGCTAGATTTCCCATCCTCTTCTGCTTCAATGCCGCGATTTCCCGATGAGGATTCATGCTTCCCGGCCGCGGACGAGTTCACAGTGACCGCAGGAAACCAGATATTGCTCGCGGAATGCTGGGACACCATCAGAAGTTCATCGGCTTCCTGGAAAACGAGCAAGCGACGTGAGAAATTCCGCGCAACAAGATTTCTCGCAAGAACATCGATCAGAAGCTAGGGAATGGATCAAGATTGCAAAACAAAAGAGGCGGCTACCTCTGGCGCCCGAAGAACCCTATTGGAAGAAGCAAATTTTAGGGCGTAGACGAAACTGGCCTTGAGGGTTTTGGCAACAGGGACAAATCGCCGCCATTGGATCGGAAACGTGGACGACGGTGAGAGAGCCACGTCTCCAATTCGTTGGGTTCTAGAGAATATCCTTGTAAAAGCTAATGGACGTGTCAGTAGCAGAGCCAAAGGAACGAACACCGCAAGGAATATTTACAGCATCTCTTTGGTGGATTGTTTAGTCTCTTGTGAGAGCCAATGGCCTGTGCTCTATAAAGCCAAGAGCCATGCCTTTGGCTATGGCCGCCCGAACGAAAGAGATGTTGGAAGTGAGCGTTGGAGCTTGAGAGCTATCACCCGTTCCAAAAACTATCTTGTGTTTTCCATGGATCCTCCCAGTTTGTGGGAGCGCCATCACCCTCTCGGAGGGATTGTCTGGAACGATAAAAGGCCTGGAGTTGCAAAGAGTGTGAGAAAAACACTCGCATTTCTCAATCGAAAGAGAAAAAACTCACTTCAAGCAATCGTGAAGAGCTGCCGCTCTTCTCTGCTCGTCAGGGCCACCGATCACTGAGACGATTGAATCGAACTCCTTCCAGGCAAACTGGGAGACCATCGGTTGCCTCTCTCTGAAAATCATCGCAACTTCGCGCAAAAAGGGTCTTTCCAGCTCAAGCAGTGCCTGGAAGATCAAAGTAACCTCGATCATCGTCAAGAGCAAGAGAAAAGAAAAAGAACTTTTCATACCTGCGTCTTAAAGAAGTGACCAAAACTCGAGTACTTCTTTTGCAGCTGCTTGACAGAGCACCAAGCCAGAGACGATGCGACACCATTGCTGATCCCACAGACAAGCCCGATCAAAGCCGTGGTATCGAGATTCACGAGCTCGACTCTCTCACTCCGGCCACCCCAATCCCTACTCACGTCCTTCAAAATCCTGTAGAAGCCACTCTCCTCCAAGCCGTGCTCCACGATCCCGACTATAGACTCTGTGTATTCGTTTGCGTTGATAACCTCTCCCTCGAAGACGATCGCCGGAGCTACCTTGAGCCGATACATGACCGCTGCCTTGACTGGAAGAGAGATCCAGCTACTGCTCAGCGATTCCTCTTCCTGATCCTCGTCGACCAAGAGCCACTCCCCAGCCTCAACCTCGCTAAACTTGTGAAGATCGTCCACTTCGATCTGGTACTCGCTAAACTCCGACTTGAAGCTCTCGGCCACGCCCCTCTCGACGCCCCTGGCGAAGTAGAAGATGAGGAAGTCGGGTCGAGTGACTGGATTCGCCACCGCTGCCTGGACGAGGATCTCTGCCCTGGATCGGAGCTCCGGCCATGAAACGTGCTTGGGATTTCGATCCGACACCACCATCCATGCCGGTTTCCCATCGTACATCCCCACCAGATCGACGTGAGCTCGAGACGATGGCGATCCCAGAAAGCTCTTGTTGACGCCGCAGATCCCACTCACGTAGGGGTGCTGGAGAACTTGGATCAATGCCTCGAAATGCCCGAAATTCGAGCTGCCAAGACACCCAGCGCTCTCAAATCTCGGCTATAAATTAGCAACATTACCTGTCGGGAGGGCCGGATCTCTCCTCGAGCGCTCCCAGCTTCGACAAACTCCTGCGGCAATCCGCCATGATCTTCCCCACCGACAGCGCCTCGATCGCCGCCCTTGCGGCGCCGACGCGGGCGCGCAGCAGCTCATCGCCGAGATCCATCGAGAGAAAACGCAACACACTTACTCCATTGCAAGAACCCTAAATGCCAGGGCGAGCCAACCCTAAAAACTAAATAGCATAGCTTATATTGATTAGAGAACAGTATATATAGTAGTAGTAGTTACATAGTAGGTATTTAAAAAGTGGGGCTCTTCGCGGGCTTGGGATTCTTCCTCCTCTTGCCACTCCCTTTCTCGCACTGGCTCGTCACATCGTCCTCGTTGACCACGGCATTTAGAACCTCTGACTCGGGCGACGACCGGTCAGCGCTGGTCGCCACCTCGCTGACCGAGCAGCACACCGCCGGCTTGACCGCCGGCTTGACCTCTAGGCTGACCTCGCTGACTCCTGCGGTGACCTGCTCCACTGGGTTGACCAGGCTGACCACCACCGCCATCTTCTTGTTTCGCTTCTTCTTTGGCCTAGCCATCTTGGCGGCGCCGCCGAGGCCCTTGGAGTGGCCGACGTAGTGGAGATGCTGGTTGACCGTGAGCCGCCCCGTTGACTCGCGGTTGTAGGCGCACGAGGAGCGGCCGTCGTTGACCATGGTCAGCTCCTGGTCCCGGGGGCAGCGCGGCTCCACGATCGCCCGCAGCTTGCACTGCAGCGAGCAGAAGCGCTTGCTCGGATCCATGAGCGACCGCTGGCACACGCTGCAGTGGCTCACCGCGATCACCATCTTGGGCTGGTGCGTGCGCGCCTGGATGAACACAATGTGGCTGTGGTTGATGTAGAAGAACTGGATGTCGACCAGGTTGACAAAGGGCTGGATGTCCTCGACCTTGATCGAGTTCTCGTGCGACGCCTTTCGGACTTGCAGGCACGAGTGACCCCGGTGGGCTTGCGACTCCGACTCCGCCTTGCAGACCCCCACCTTGCACTGGACGCAGAAGTACTTCCTCGCGGAATGGCGCGGGCACTGGCAGCTCACAAAGTACTCGGAATGGATGAATGCGGTGAGCCATGGAGGACCTCGCCTGTCCACATTTGACCCAGCGGCGCTGACCTGGGCCGCATTGTCAACGGGCGCGGTCAATGCCAGCCATGGAGCGCTACATTTCTCTTCCTCAACGCCGCTACCACCATCGAAGCCGCCGCCACCACCCCCATTGCTAGAGAAACCCATGGTAGAAGGCAAGGAATTGGGGAAGAAGAATGGAGGTGAAAAAGCTAGCGCTCGACGAGAGAGTTTTACCTAGGGCGAAAATAACAAGTTAATCCGGCCCGTGCTTGTCGCGGTGCTGCCGCGCGGCCTTCACCATCACACCAAGGCTTTTGGTGCTATATTTGGCACTAAATTAGCTCCAAATAAGACTGATTATTTTAAGGCCGGGAGAATCCCCAATGAGGTGGCTTGCGATCCAAGTCTATATGTGTGCGTGGCCAAATCCGACGGATACGATCCCCAGGACCTGACACGTGGCACGCCCCCGCGCGTTGACTGTATGGACGGCGAGGATGGGCTCCAGCTCACGGGGCATTTTAGGGCTCTACCCTTTTTCTCCCCTGGCGCAGGGATTTTTTGTCCGATCACACAGAGTGGCGCGCTGGCGGCCCGTGATTCTTGGAAATGCAGGAGTCGATTGAGATTGCTTTGTCGCTTCTCAATCCGGCAGTGGCGTCGCGGGAGCTGATCTAGGTGTGTGATCTCTTGCTCTCGAACGCGCTGTAGCAGCGGAGGGGTTTTGGATCATGTTTCTTCGCGGCTGAGAGGCGGTATGACGAAGGAGAGGGGGCATGTTGTTCACAGTGGAGGATGCCGGAGCCTGCAATTTGTTCCTGGATTGTCGTCGCCCTCGCCGGCGGTGTATCGAGTCCCGAGAACTCCTCTCGCGAATGGACCGTTTAGAGGATTGATCATCTGTGTCACTGGTCTGTCCAAAGGTATGCTTTTCTAGCTAGGATCTTCTCCTTGGCTGATAAAATGTGGTGATTTTTCCCTCATAGAAGTTCGAGCTCAAGTCCAAGATGCCACCGAGAGAATGGGTGGAGTGTACAGTCCGGATCTACATCCTCAGTGTACACACCTGGTCGTCCAGATATCCACCATTTTCTTTGGTTTCTCGCTTTGTTTTTTCTAGCTCTTTCCTTGACTCCTCGCACAGCTTTGTTGGACGAAAGTTTGAGCATGCTTTGAAGCACGGGGTAAAACGTGGATTGTTCGTCGTGACTTTGGCATGGTTTATCAACTCAGCTAAGCTAAATGGTATGAATTTTATTTTTTTTCTTGCGGATGTGTCAGACAGTGTCGTTGTTTTTGCAGAACGTCTGGACGAATCTTTGTACGCTGTGTCAAAGAATTCCTTTTTCAACGCCGTGATTTCTCCGGAACAGGGACTTTTCGATGGCGAACACGCTTGCTTGCCCAGCAGATTCGAAGAAAGCAAATCCGGGGACATCTCAGTGAAGTCCCTGGCGGAGTCTCCAAATGCCGAGAGCAAGCGTGGTCTTCTCTTGAGAGGCTTCACGCTTTACCTGGATCCGTGTCTTTCTGAGGACGTGCAAGCGAAGGTAACAATCACAAGGAATCAATTGTCAGTCTCTCAGATGTGACTGTCTTGGAACAGGTGGTCGCTGGAGCAAGCAAAGAAGGTGCGACTTTTGCTGACAACTGGTACAGTGGTTCCGATGTTACGCATGTTGTCTGTGAAAGGGACTCTTTTCTAACTTATACGGGGTCAACATGTAATCTAGTCACTGTGGGTACAGCTTCGGTCCATTGTTCTGCCGAGCTCTCTAATGTCTTTTTCTTTTGTCAGCCATTATGGTTGTTGAAGAGTCTCAAAGAGCATGCGCTGCAGCGCATGGTGCAACTATCGACAGATCTAGCACGGCACTTGGCTTTTGTGGCTGATCTTTTGCAAAGTAAAAGCTCGTTGCAGGTTTGTTTTGCTGTCATCTTCTCTCCAAGTTTGAGTTTTTTTTTACTGAATTTCAGTGGTGTCTGGCAGAATGAAGACGCGGTTAAGTCTCTTCAAACAGAACGTGAGGAGCTCGTTAAGAACGCGAAAGAAGGCGTAAGGAGGCGCAGAGGACAACGTAAACAGGCAGGGAAGCTTTCTAGATGGATATCTCTAATGTGTTGTGTTACGTTTTCAGCCATGTCGGACATTGCCACGCCCAATCACTGGAGCCACACTTTTAGATGGCCTGTGCTGGTCTGTTACGGATTGTCCTTCAGCAGCAAAGGTTTACGCCGAAATTTCTCCCAGTGACGAGTTCTTCGATGCTCCTGATAATGGGAACACGTCGGGATCAGAGAGTGATTTGTTTGCACGTCCTCTCACTGAAAGGTAAGCCAATGCATCCTACGTTTTAGCCCGACTTTCTTACACTGGCTTGCTTTGCAGTGAAAGGCAGGAGATAATTTATAATGCAGTCTTTTTGACTGTCATGTTTCCAGTGGACCGCTTTGCCGAGATGGGACCGTCGTCGAGATCATTTTTCTGTGAGAACGGCTTCACCAGGCAACAAATAATGGAAAACATCTATCAGTTTTACCAGGTCTGGGCTTGTATTTCGTTTTAAGACTTTTCTACTTCCTCACATTCTGGATTCAAATCGATGCAGGAGCCTTTGTCGGAACAGGAGTTGAACGTAGCAATCAACACAGATTCGAAGCACGCTGATAAGCTTCGAGCCTTGTACGCTGCCAGAGGGAGCAGTAACGACGTCATGAAGCGTCACGAGTTTATTGGAGGCAGGAGATGCTTTGATGGCCTCAAGCGGCTAAGCCGGGAAAACACCGGACAGATTTACGAGCTACTGCTGGCATCTTGATCAAAAACACCAATAACACAAACCTGTATATATCAGAAAAGGTTTTGCTGGTAAGTGGAGATAATTTTTTCTTTGCTACTATGGGGACCAGCAGCATCACCTGGCTTGGGAATCAAGAATGGTACCTTCAAGTTTGTTTTCCTATTTGATCACTAAGATGAATCTCTTTTCTACAGGCCCGAATGGAGAAGAGACACTGGAAGAGGCTGGCGGCTGCCGGGCTCTCGCTGCTGCTACTCAGAGTCGCCTACGACGCCATCCTCTTCTTTTCGCCGCTGATAATCTCCACGATGCTGTGCGTGCTGTCGTTTAGACGACTGGGCTTGCTGCTCGAGGAGTGTAGGCCGCAGCTAGTGGAAAATCCCGAGGAGTCACAGGGCAGTGGCAGTGGCCGACTGGAAAAATCTGGGGGACTAGAAAAATCTTACAGGCACTTCCAGAAACTTGCTGTTCGTCCGGTGATAGTCGAGGAGGTGGTAGTGAAAGAACGCCAGGAAGGACGAGATTCCAGTGAAGACGAGGAGACGATGGTCGTGCAGGCAGGAAGAGATTCCAGTGGAGACGAGGTCGAGCAGGCAGTCCAGAGCTCCAGTGACGAAGAGGATGATGTCACTTCCGCGATGGATGATAGTGATTTTGGGAGGAACAGCAGCAGCAGCTCCGAGATTGATCGTTACATGAGCTTGTTCGTGGAGGAGAGCGATGATCCGGAGGTGGTGGAGGAGAGAGCCAGTTCTTCCGATGGTGTTGATGGACAAGAGAGCATCCCGAGAGCGGTTTTTCTTCCAGCTCGAAGAAAGCATTTTCTGAGTGACGTGCTTTTCTTGCCGGCCTTGTTTCGAGTCACTCGCAGGTTGCTTATGCGTGCCTTCTTTGCAACCTTTTAAGAGCTCCATTTGATAAAATGGACGAATATTCATTCTGGAGTTGAAAGTATTTGGCCCATGCAGGTCTCGAACCTGCGACCTTGGCGTTATTAGCACCACGCTCTGACCAGCTGAGCTAATAGGCCTTACATTTTTAATTAGTTATTAATTTACAGTTATAAAAGAAAATTGTAAACTATCTATAGACAAAATGTTTAGCGCTTCACAATAAAAGAATTTTGACACTAATTCCACAAAAAATATAAATTTCTTCGCAAGATGCTTGACCACGACAAGATCATGTTTTGCTTACAAGTTTAAACTCAAGTTTTATTTCCGGCGTCGTTTGTACCTGGAAAATAAAAGTTGAAGTTTTCCATAAAAGTTAAACAAACCGTACCTTGCTTTGCTTTTGAACGAGCGCTTGGACACACCAGGTTTTCTCTTGGGCCTCTTGTTCGTAGCATCACGTCTGGAAGCACCAGCCTCCGGTTTAGACGATCTCACCATTTCATCCTCAGGATCCTTTTTCTTCTTCTTCCTCTTCCTGTCATCAGAGCTCTTCTTGCTAGGGGTAAATCTCCCTTCCTGTCTCGCCTTCTCCGCAGCTTTCACAGCCTTTGCACGCCTGTAGCCGATGTCCACAAGAGATGTACCGGGGTTGTTCTTGTTCTTCTTTCCTCCTCCCTGTTGAAAGAAGTCCCCCGGATCTTAGTTAGCTCTAGATATTGAAAACTCTCTCTCCCTCTCACCTTTCTATGCTGGTTTTCGTCTTCATCAGCGCCTTCCTCTGCCGTCTCTCTGGCGGCTTCTAAGCGCCGGCGCTTCTTACGTGGTAAGGCTTTCTGTCAAGATAACACATGAGATGGCACGCTCGAAAGAATAGCCACGCGTATGTTACCTCTGTTTCGGCTTTCCGCTTCTCTTTCTTTTGAAGCTCCTCGCCTTCGTCAACACTAATAGCCTTCTTTTTCAGCGCTGGCCCCTTGGCTTCCTGTTAGAGCAGATTGTTATAATGGTTCAGTAACATACGATGCCGGAGATACCTTGGCAATGCGTGTTTTGTCTTGTTGAGACTGAAACCACGTCTTTTTGGGCCGCGCAAATATTTCTGCCTCGTAGTCCATCATGTTCTGTGCCTGATAAATGAAAGACACACAAGGTAAGAGTTACAAGTCCCTAGTGCACCACCTTGTTAGCTTCCATCTCCGCTTTCCTCAAAAACTTCTCTTCCCTGAAGCCAAAAAAGTCAGTCAGGTTCAGATCCACACAAACAAACCTTTCTTGTTGAAGTATCTGAACTAGATCTTCTTCCATCTTTTCAATGCGCTCACGCCACGATGCAATGGATGTAGCAGCGACAACCCGCTTCTGGAGTTTGGATCCAGCTCTTTTAGCCTGAAGGGACAGACAATACGTTCATAAGGTGAACATGTATACTTCATATCAACATACCACAGCCTTCAAAAGCAGACGGTCTTGTTCAGTCATCAAAGTGACTGAACGGCCATGTCTCCCAGCTCGAGCAGTTCGTCCTACTCGATGAACATAACTACGTGGATTTCAATAACAAATAGAAACAGAGAGATGTGCTTACGTTTTGATTTCCTTGGGACACTCTAAGTTTATCACCGATTCAACGCCTATAATGTCGAGTCCCTGAAAACAAACTTAAGCTCGTTGCACATAGTGAAAGCCATGTAATACTTACACGAGCAGCCACATCCGTAGCAATCAAAAAGTCTACCTCCTGCTTCCTAAATGCTTCTAATGCCTGGCATAAAAGTTCCCCAAGTCATATAAAAAGCTCGTAACGAAACACAGACCTCTAGCCGTTGAGCTTGTGTTAGATTCCCATGGAGCTCAGCTGATTTTAAACCCGACAGACCAAACAGTATTTTGAGGCGATGAGCCTCCACCTTCGTGCCACTGAAAAAACAGAAAAGGTTAAGACTTTACATTGGATAGAACACTAAGAACCTGAAAATGATTGTTTTCGACTTAAGTGACCGTGAGCACAGGGAAAGTACTATAGCCTCTTTATCTCCTTCATGCCCAGCCCGGATTCTGATCACTCTGCGCAAAAAACACAACAGTCAAGATAGATTCCTTCCAAACTTAATGGACGCACTCTTCGGTGAGCGTCGAAGGACGCTCAGTTGACGGATCGGCTGACAGCCTGACTGGACTTTTCAGTGAGAGCTTGATCAATTCAGATACTTCGTCCGTCATCGTAGCCGAAAAGAGCATTGTCTGTCGTCTGGAAGGACATAGTTTCACCTATGCATAGTCCACGCAATCAGATGCAAAACACACTATGTAAATGAAACTCTACCAGCTCGTGTATTTCTTCTCGAAAACCGAGTTCTAGCAAACGATCAGCTTCGTCCAGTACCAAAATTGCAAGTTCTTCGAGGCCAACGGATTGTGTATTTCGCAAATGATCAATCATACGACCCGGGGTGGCAACTACAATGTCTGGATGTGTTCGAAGAGCTACTTCTTGTACCTACAAAACCATTGCAGAATGCAAAGCTTATAAAAACAATCTTTCATACCTTGCTTGAAAGACCACCTACGACTAGAGAGCATCTAATATCTGTGAACTGTGCCAATTTTTCAATCATGCTATGGAGCCTGTACAGAAAGAGTTTGTTAAAAGACAAATGCGTAGCTACAACTCGTACTGTACTGCCAGCTCCCTCGTTGGAGTGATGATAAGAACCCGTATAGCCGGTATACGTCGGGGTCTAAACAGAAGCCTTTCCAGGATAGGCAAAGCAAATGCCGCCGTCTGCAGATAACGTGTAAGATTACAACAATAGATTACAACTTCATCTTCAAACCTTCCCCGAACCAGTCACAGCACTGCCGCAAATGTCTCTTCCGGCAAGAGCTAGTGGGATGCAAGCTGCCTAAACAAGAAAATCAAAAACGGAAAAAATGAAAAGTGAATCACAGCATTTTACCTGAATAGGAGTGGGCTGGCGGTAGCCAAGAGCGTCGCAAGCCCGTAAAAGAGGCCGTGAGACGTTGAGTTCTATGAAAGACGATGCGTTGAAGGAAGCACCATGGTTAGAAGAAAAAAACTGCGGCTTTTTGTTGGTATTCCCGGCTTTTGCAGGCTACAAAGAAAAAAAAGTAACGAAACAAATTAAGAACAAAATAAAAATAAAAATAAAAATCTTGTTAGCATGGTTTTCCTCTTTCCCATACCTTCTCTTTTTTCGAATCGAGACTTTTCTTTCGCTGACTGTGATCAAGTTGTTCTTTCTCATCTTCGTCAGTAGAGTCTTGTCCGCGATCTTCTTCCCGCTGCTCATCGTCATTTTCCTCTTCACCGTCCTGGTCCACATCCTCTTCTTCATCATCCTGCTCTATATCATCTTCGTCAATTTCCTCGTCTAGATCATCTCCCTCCTCTTCATCAGAATCTTGAGCACCTTCATCCTCCTCTACACCGCTTTCATCGCTAATATTCCCCTCACTGGCAATGTCTCTATTTCTCTTCCGAGCAACGCTTCTGCCTTTGGCCCATGCGCGTTCCAGAAGTTCCTCCTCTGCCTCGTCGCTGTCCTGATTCCTAGCAAGCTGCTTACCCGCATTGAGGCGCTGCTTGATCTTGTGATCGATGGACGTGGTGTTGCGCTCGCGATGCTCCTGCTCGCTAGCCTTTGCGTAGCCGGAGAATTCCCAGGGCGATTGCACCACGGCCACAGCACCGCCGCCGTCCAATCCATCCCAAGTGAAACCCTTGTTCATCACTGGAAATGGGTTTAGGGCTTAGGGAGCCCTAAGAACGACATTGAATTATCCAATGCACTATATATATTCAGGTTGCTCACTTACCACGGAAGAACATGCCAATGGCGTTGGAGATGCAGGCGCCGGTAGCGTCTCCGCCTAGAAAGCTCTCAATCAGCAAGAAGAGCTAGCAAACATTCAAGCGGACTCGAGATTGGAGGTGGCGTTGGAGATACAGCTGCTACCGCGTTCGTCTCCTCCTGGAAAGATCTCATTAGAAATCCAGAGCGAGCTCGTTCGCATTTCTAGAGCTCACTCACCAGGGAAGACGCTGCCACGACTGGAGATTCCTTTGGAAATGCAGGCAGTAGTATTGCAGTCTCGGCCTGGAAAAGTTTTCGATCCAGAAGAAGAGCTTGCAAAGTTTCAAGCGGGAACGCTTGAACGGGAATGCCTGCCACAACCGGAAACGCTGCTGGAGATACAGCCGCTATCGCGTTCGTCTCCGCCTGGAAAGATCTCAGAAGCAAGAAGAACGATTTCGATCACGATCAGTCATGCAATGGATTTTCAAGCGCGATCTCTCTGTCACCGCACAAGATACGAGGCACCAGTGGCGTCTCTGTCGAGCTCGATTTCTCCTGAAAGAAAGCGCACGGTCAGTAATCCAGACCTAGCGCGTGCTGCCTCACCGCGGAAGGGGTTTTTCCCACGCACTGCCCCATTGTTTTAGGGTTTATGAGTATTTCTTTTGTGATATATAACAATGTGCTATGATTTTAAACATGACCGTCCGATCTCTGGAAAGCATCAACGGCCCTAGGGCAACATGGAGGATGGGGTAGCTCTGTGGCGCGAGCGCGAGCGGCGCAAGCTCTTCTGGACCGACGTCAATGTCATTCGCGCCTTCTTCTCGTGGCTGCGCGGCTATGGCGGCGGGATATTCCAGGACCAAGTCCATGCTCTCTATCGCCACTGTGGGATCGTAGCGCTGTATCCAAGCCTCCTGGACGAGCTCCGCTACTTCTCGCTCTCCAGATCATCGGCCAGGGGTCACACCACTCTCGACAAGGCGCGTTACGATGTTTGGGAGTCAGTGGCCACCGGGACTTTCGAGTTTTTCGGCGCTTCTTTCGTTGCTCTGGCGCTGGATCTCTGCCGCTACTCCGATGTCGAGGATGCTGCTATCCAGGTCGAGTGGTATGGAACAGATTGCTTTTGGAACAGGCGGGTACTCGATCACTTGCTGAGCCACTTCCTCTATGTAAGAACTCCTTTCTTTCTTCGATCGATCTAAACCAAGCCTTGATCGTAGGGCCGCGTGAGGCAGAATGAGCGCATTAGCGTCGACCTGGACGCAATCACTCTAGGTAAGTATTTCCAGTGATGCTTTAAAAGCGAAGCTCTCCCTTTCTCGCTTGATCCAGAGCTTTGCGAGGTTCACCGCCAGTTGAAGCTTCATCACGATTCTGCGAGCTCCCCGCAACACGAGCTCGTCGAGGTTCCCCGCCACGATGTGTTCGACGTGACGGAGCCTCTCTGCCAGCTTTTCTATACGTGGCTCTCGGTGGCAAATAGTTCCGAGCGCTCTAAAGCCATGGAGGTGCTCAAGAACGTCCTCTGCGAAACGAGGATCGGTGATGCAGATGAGCAGCCGCCGATGAAGCTGCCCTTGCCACCGCAGCTCGCGGATCAGCTGCCAGTGGATCTGGCGATGACTTTCGCTCTCAACTCGAACAAGGAGAATCTCATGAAGCCACTCTCCTCGGCCGGTCTCCAGCAACTGGAGAGCTGGCTTTCGTTGCGGATGGGGACAGTACATCAAGCGGACAGTGTATTTGCCACTGCCACAGCAAGCCTGCCAGCATCGCTCATCCGGAAGCTCATTCAAGTTACTTAGAGCACCAAATCTGGTTTCTGTCAGCTTTCACTAACACGTTTGGATCTCAGGACATAAAGGCCGCGGGGAGCGAGGGTCTACAAGTTGGTCGTCCCTTGACGAGCAGCGGCTTCGACATGCTCCTCGCCAAAATGGAGCTCAACTCGTCGATTTTGGAGCTCAACTGTGAAACAGGGGTCATGGCCCGGCTCTTCCACTCGTGGCTGCGCTGCCGCGGGGGCCAGTTCAAGCACAAGCTCATGGTGGACCAGATCAACGAGGAATACGCCCGGATGGGATGGCCGCCATGCAAGAACTCGTCGCTCCTGCAAGAGGTGCGATCAACCTTGAGCAGCAATGGGCTTTTCTCCCTCGAGCAAGCTCGCACCCGGTGCGACATATGGCTGCGGAGTGTCCCTGAGTTTCTTCGAAGGCTCAAGTACGAGAGTAGCTTCGTCAACTTTGTGGCTGCGGTGAGCATGGAAGACATAGATCCCGGCGACTCGAGCTGTATAAGCATGGAGCTTGCTGAGCAAATACGCCGCAATGCAGTCGCTGGACGATACCACCTTTTCAAGCCGCTGCTTGCCGAGGACGAATCTGCTGCGAGTCTTGTGGTTATATATCTTGTGGAGGTGAGACTTCTTACGTCTCCTTGAATGTAGCTAGTAACGTCTTGCGTTGCAGGAGCTGTGGTACTGGAAGTGTGGTGATATCTATAGTGATTTTGTAGAGTTTGGCGTGGACAGTTACGACGATTGGTTGCCAGCTTATTCCAGTGCTGACTTTCCAAGCGTGAGGCTTCCAGGTCCAACCCCACAGTACTTCAGTTCTCTAAAGTTTCTAACAGGTGTTTTATCATGCATGTAGATGCAACTAGATACAGTGTGGAGCATCACTTGGCAAAGGCGACAGTAGCACTGTGCAGGGATGTGACGGATCCAGTACTTCGAACCCTGTCGACTTGGCAGAGGTACCATGATGTAAATAGTCTTGGAACAGCGGATCCCAAGGCTTTCCAGAGCTTGGTGTACTGCTCATACCTTCACAGAAGAAGCGGCTTGGTGGAGGCTAGCCAGCAAGACCTTGAGGTGTGTACACACGCAGCAAGCGATGAGGTAGTCGCTCTTGTGACAGGAGAACGCAAGGTCGGAACATTGGTGCACAGGCTCGTTTCGGTACTATGAGCGTTGTTAAATTCCTGTTGTTTGTGTTGATACTCATTTGTGGATGATAGGACTTGGGGAGAACCATCAAACCGCACGAGATCAACGACAAGCTCGCGTCTGTGAGTTGCTTTGTCTGGCTATGTTTTAGTGTGTCTTAATTCTTGTTTGCCAATGCATAGGACTTTTGGGAGCAAGCGAGGTTGACGGAAGTGTCCAACATGCCAGATAGTTGAACGTTACACAAAACGGGATCAAAGTCTACGACGTCCTCTCTGGATCGCGTTTCAAAAGGGTGGAGTCTAGTTTCCAGGACCGACAGCACGAAACATCTCCGTGACCTGCGGTGCGAGATAAGTGACAGGATTCTCCAGAGCAGTGCCTAAAAAATTCAAATTTTAATTTGTTTTATATTTAATATATTTTAGAATGATCAATATAGAAAATAACAATATTTTCTTACATTCAACCTATGATGCCGTGAAAAACCCTAAAAAATACAGTAAGTTGTTTCTAAAGGCAAAGTATCACATAACATCTTTGGTGATTTCAAGGTTTGAAGGTACGATCTGACCATGATCGAAGGTTGGATTTGGGCCGGTTCGTCACTTTCAGTCTCCGTTACGAGTGTTCCTATCTGACACGCTTGGAAACGTCTCCTCGAGCACTGGAGTCCTCAACGTTTGTTCTTCCAGAAATCTGAAAGACTTCTCGCTGGAATCAAATTCCTCTGACCCCTGCGGCTCCACTACTGCTCGAATCGACTTCGCCAAAGACTAAGAGATCCAAGGCCAACCAGCTGTGAGTAGCCCGAGTCCAAGAGACTACACTGCGATGAGAAATCCTGTCAATCGGAGTTTGCGAGAGCTTTGACTTCCTGGCTATCATCGCGCCCAGGGCGAAGCAAAACCCAGCCCCACGACGCTGCCAAGGATACAATTCTTAGACCTCGAGGGAACTCAAGGCTAGTATCGAACTTTTTAATGAAAAAAAAAAAGTTGTAATACCTAGAAACCAAAGGTTATAACTGTGATTGATTGGTTTAAAGACTCGATCTAGGATTAATATAGAAGATTCAACTAGTTAGTTTATGAGTTCAAATTGATTAGTAAAGGTTTGAAGTTTGAAATCTTATTCTAGACAATCTAACAAATATAAAAAGAGGCTAGGCATCAATATAAAGAGTATTTAGATTTATAAGCAACTTAATGGGCTTATCAACAAGAAGCATAGATTGCTAAAGATTGATGAGTGATACTACCAATTCTTAAAGCCTTCTATGATTTAGATTTTTATTTTGCCAATTCTGATATAGAGGAAGAAGAGAATATGATGAGTCTTAGCTTTTATTTCTCTTTAGCCATGGCATTTGTCATAAAGACTATGGAAGCAATTCTTGCCGAACCTAATGTAGATTAATTTGTTTTCAATTACAGCTCAAGATAGGATTTGATGGAGACACAAACTATAAATGTAATGCATCTGAATTTGAAGTCAAACTTTAAGCTTGTTGTGCTATAAAACATGGGTCTAGTATACACTTAAATTCCCCTACAAGCATTAGCTTTCTATAATTAATTCCTATATGCAAAATAGTGTCGGACAGTGTTTGGCATAATTTTGGCATACCAATGGCCTAATTTGAGGAGGTGGGTACCCCACCAATTAAAGTAGTATGGAATTTAGGCTTAGGCTTAAATCGAATACAAAATAAGGAATGATATAGCCTAATAATTTCCAAACTAGTGTCTCAAATAGTTGCTTGTGCTTCCAACTATTATCATTACCATACATTTGGAGCCCCCTCACCCCTTTAGAGGAACTCTTGCTTTGAGCTTTCACTCCAATCCCAAGAGTTAATCTCTATAACAAATTTAAAAACTTAATGAATATGGAATGGTGAATAGATTATGAATTAGGATGTGGGAACATCATCATATGGTCTAGGACACTCTCTACATTTTGTAGATATGCCTCATTAGAAGATTTAGGAACTTGCAATAAATAACACATAAACCAAAACAAGATTAACAAATGAGGCATGATAGTGAGGGTGTTTGGCAAATATGATAAACTAAATAAACTTTGGATTGAAAGAAATGTGTTACTTTATTGATTTGCAAGATTTATTATAAAGGTTTATAAAAACTACTTTTTATTATAATTTTCATACTCTATAAGCATATATAAAATTCCTAATAGGTTCCCAAGTTGGGTAAACTTTCCACTTAACTGAATATTCTTTGATTCAACTATCACATGTTTTGCAAGATAAAAGAATTGCTTCAACCTCATACTCAAATTCACTATCATAAACTTGTGGTGCTAGACAAACTTCTATAGAGTAGTTAGAATTCTCATGATATAGGGCTAATAAACTAACATGAAACATATCATGTAAACTTGTCTCTTTTAGAAGATTTGACTAATAAAATATATCATCTATTTGCTTGAGTACCTAATAGGGACTAGCATATTTTAGTAAAAACTAAAGATCCTTTAATATTCAAATTTCATAAAGATAACCAAACTTGGTCTCCCACTTGATACAGTACATCCCAATAATGCTTATCTTTATCATATTGTTACCTATTTTGAGCTTTGCCCATTGCCTTAGTAACCTTAGACCAATCTTGGCATAATTACTCTACATAAGTTTAAGGACTCAATGATTTGTTAAGGAACTTTATGAGCATTCCCTTGTAACATCTCCTATAGAGAAAAATTAATAGCATTGTGAAATATGTTATTATTACAGATTTTTGCTTTGTTCAAATGCTCAATTTAGTTACATTGGTCTACCATGACATAGTACCATAAATAATCCTTAACCTGTGCCATTTAGTTCACCCATTTGTTTGAGAATGATAAATTGTACTAAACTTCAACTTGATAACAATTAAAACAATATACCCCAAAACTTCTCCATAAATCTCAAATTTTTATTTGAGATAATCTCTTTGGGAGGTTCATAAACTTGGTGGCTTAATGTGAGGAAGTGGGTACCCCACCAACTAGAGTAGCATGGAACTTGAGATTAGGCCTAAGTTGAATGCAAAACAAAGAGTGATATAGCTTAACATATATTCTTGCTCTAACATAATCTTTTAAATGCAAGGCTTTATTGCTTTAGGTATTTGATGATGCACCATTGTTGTCACTATTATCATCCCTATCCATGCATTGTAATGTATAGTGAGTTGTTCTTATGGCTTGAGGTGTATTCTAATAGGAAAACTAGCTTCACGTCAAGTTCTTTTATTATTACCCCTACTAGAACTTCTAAAGTTTTAGGCAAATTATCTCGATAGAAAGACCTAGATTAAAGCTAGAGAAAATCCAAGTTTTTAAAAAGCAAATAAGACCAAAAGCAACATACAAGTCTACCTCTAACTCATGTTTTCCAAGTCCAAGAATATGCAAAGTGGAAGAACTTGTATTAACAGAAGAAAATTATTCCACCACAACTGTGATAGTCACTTTTGGAAGAGGTATTGATATATGTTAATAGTTATTCTCATTGTGATCTTTGTTTTGGATATGAAATGAAGACAATAGCTAAAAACTATGGAAAAAGAGAAAACTAAGAAATCTACTAACTAAATTATCAATCTTAATGCTAAACTCAACTTCTATATCTAATAATAGCACTAGTTTTATGAGTGTCAAAGTGCAGTGAATTTGTTTTTTACCAGAGAGGGAGCATTAATTGAGTTTCATATTCATAAAGCTTCATTTAGAAGCTCAAAACAACATTCCCACTTTTAGCACCCCAAATCTATAGAATAAAAGTTGTGAGTGAGAAAATAATACATAAAAATGATAAATATAATCAAATAGCTAACATCTATCGAACTTGCTGGAGAAATTCTATCCTCTTCCAACTTTAGCAATGACATAATATCCATAACCATTGCCATGTATGGCAAGATGAGCATTTTCTTAGGATTTATATAAGGCAAAATAGCTAAATTAATTAATGGTTTGGATGTATGTTTGCCAACTATCACAAAATTAACCTTTGCTTTGATCTCCTTTTTTCATATGCTTAAGAGTATCTAGACGCTCAGTTGAGCAATAGAATTGACAGTAGTGTACCAATGTTTTTTCATTTATTTCCTATGAATAAATACAGTCCTTAATTAAAAGATGAGGCAAATAGGAATCAAACCCAACAACCTTACACAACAGAACATTACGGCATGCATGCTATAACCACAAAGCCATGAACACTGGGAAAATATAAAATATAGTTTCAGCACCTCTCATTGGATTTAGAATGCAAAAGAAAATTTAGAATCCATTTGACTGTCCACATGGACAACATCCAAGGGCTATGAGGCTAGAGATTTGGAGAATCCATGTGCAGATCCTAGGGAGTAAATATTGGCCGAATTGATACCTCACCAACATGATTGCTTACATGTATGGCAAATGTGGGAGCTTGGGCAATGCCAAGGCTTGAAATGCTAAGGTAAAAAGACCAATATTGACTAATTAGCAAAGGAAAATTAGGATGCTCTATGTATGATCCTTGGTATAACAAGCAGAGTAAAATTTTTGGAACTCAAATTATAGTTGAACAGTTGCAAACAGAGTGAGATAGAATCCATAATTAATTTCTCATAGATATTGCTAAGAAGATGAATGCAATTCAAATAAAAGAGTTTGATGATGACAAGTTAATCACAACTTTCTTCAAGGGGTTTAGTGGACCAATGCAACTTGTAAGGTTACATCATTTGAGTTCTAGCAACACTTTTGGCTAGATCATAGCCGATTTCACAGTTTTGGAGGGTTTTCTCAAGTAAGAGCTTGAATGAGAAAGAATTGGCACCCTTCCTAAAAAAGAGGAAATGATTTGTCACAATGTAGGAAACTAGGACTAACAAATGATCAGGGCAATAGTAGCAAGTTGGACAAGTTCAGAAGAAAAAGAAGAATGATTGTTGCAACACTTGCAACAAAATAACATACGAAGCAAGAGATTGTAAGTAGTTTTGATATTTCTTTTTGAGGCCTCATCTCTAACACTTTGTTATTCTTGGTGTCCCTTTTTTTTATTCACATCATCTTTTGGCTTGATTCTACTCTTAACCATGCTCTATAAAGTAAAATTGCACCTAAGAAATCTTCTGAGGTATTAACTAATAAGAACTGAATATACCTAAGAGGGAACCAGAATATCCATTAAGCATTGTTTTGATTAGTTATATTGAAAATTAAATTGGAATAGTATCAAAACAACAAATATTATATTCCACTTTCAAAGAAAAATTGAGGAAGTAGCTATAAATATGTTTCCTCAAAAGAAAATTATCAAACTCCATAGAGTGAATAATAAAATCCAAATGACCCAATAAATTTCCACTGCAAAAGGTTAAGCATTAATACTGGTCAACACATTTGTGTCATAGCACCTTCCTCTCTTGCCAAGGCAATTAGCCACCTCCTATTGGTTGAAAGCAAACATTAGAACGATTATTTGCAAAGATGTGGTTAAAGACAATTATCCCCCTATCGGATGGCTACCATTAGCTGAATTTGGCAGCCCAGAAAGTTTAGCAACTCCTCATTATAAATATTTAGAAATTTCAGATGGTAAGCTTAAGGATAAAACTTAGGAGGTTCAAGGAGATATATGGAGTGCAATCCAAAAACCAAACCCATGCCTCGTAATTGAAATAAAAGGTGCAATCTTTCATTATACACTTCAAAATTTTCAAGTGAATAGGGTTTGATGGATGGAGTTAAGCACAGAACCGTTGCTCGTGACAAGAATGCCATTAGTATTTTAGGTGTCTAGAAAGGATGCATGCATGATTGTCGTCTAACCTCTCAAGCTAGCAAAGGAAGGTGATGCTTGCAAATCTTGCAAGCACTATAGCATTTGGAGAGGACTCTAGTGTTGAGCCATACCAGCTAAACATTGTTCTCAAAAGTTGTGCTTGGTATTGGCATTGTTTTTCTTCGCTCTTCATATGCTTGTGTAGATTTGGCAATTGAGAGTGGAGCAATCTTCTTTCAATGTACGCACGCAGCTGAAGGTGTGACAGTGAAGGTCTTGTACAAAGTCATATATAAATTGGTAGATGACAAGGGAGGGTCTCTTGAAGCCCATCCAGGTAAATGGTTCTTTCCATTTGGTGGATTCTCCCATCACTCACACTTGTTGAAGCTTCGATTGGAAAACTGGATATTCAAGCGGTTTTTACAAGTGAAAGTGGTCAAATAGTAATGAGCTTGTTATTGAGTATTAGGTTTTCACTTGAGTTCTGAGCTAATGCCCAATATTATATATTGCTAATATATACAAATTGTGGATGAATAACCTTTTCCTATTGATTTTCAATTTAGACTTGACAACATAGTGTTAGGCTATGTATGGTTTGCTTGCTTTTTAAAAGCTTTCACTTGAAATCTATTTCAATTCTTTGTGTCCTTTTCTGTCAAGAATCAGGATCCACCAATAATTCACCATGCATTGCAATGCATGGACGGGATGACTGAGTATGCAAACTAGTTGTTTACTTCACTCTGCCCCTTTACAGTAAGTGTGCCTTGTCCAAATTCACTAGGAGAAGTATCAATGCCACTTCCAAGACAAGTCTGTAAGAATGGATTCCATTGATTACAAGTTTGGTTCTGCTTCTTTACTATGATCTAATACCAACTTAACACCCAGAAACTCAACACAGTTAATCTTAGGTGAGATTTTGACTCTCACTAGTAAAATAAAATAGTGTTCATGCTTGCAATTAATCTAATAATAAAATAATAAAATAGTATTCATGTTTAGGGGGCGACCCTAAGACCGTATTGTTCTTAATTGGAAGTTGAGGAGGATGGGAATCGAACCCAGCAACCCTACACAATAGAACATTACAGCGTGCATGCCATAACCACAAAGCCATGAACACTGGGAGATAATAAAATATAGTTTCAGCACCTCTTATTGGATTTGGAATGCAAAAGAAGATTTGGAATCCATCTGACTGTCCACGTGGACGAATGAGGCCAGAGATTTGGAGGATCCACGCGCGGATCCTGGAGAGCAGCTACTGGCCGAATCGATACCTCTCCAACATGATCGCTTCCGAAGCGTTTCCAGCCCAGAATCGACCAAGCCATTTCAGACTCTGGACAATTGCAGTCCGGGGGCAATCTCGACGCGATCAACTTCACGAGCTTCCTCAAGGTGGCGATGGATCCTGTCCGCGGAAACCGATAGTAAAAGACAGCGGCACTCTTGAAATCAGTCACCAGCTGCAAAAACGGGAGCTTGGACGAGCTCGCCCACAGGTAGAATTCCATCTCGCATCTGTTCAATCCCTGCCGGCTCAGCCCACTGATTTCTTCGATCCCAAGAACAGCGTCGCTTCCATGCGCAAGAACGGCCGAGCTTTTGCTCCTCACCTCCACGTCCCAGTTGATCACGCGGAAAACCTCCGGTACGACTGTGGCAAAACTTGACAGATCTCGCACACAATCTCGTCAGCTTGAGCTCGAGGGAGGTGACGATCAATGTAGAGCTCTTCTTCTTCTTGCGTGATCAGGTCCTGGCAATCTTGTTCCTTGTCGATGGAGACGCCGTTTGGATCGTTCACGTCCAGATGGTAGCGAAAGGCGAGCATGAAATTTGTGGCACAAAAGCAAGTCCACGTCGATCCTACCTCTGCAAATCTCGGACAGCTCCGACATCCAAGCCGGCTCCCTTTCGTCCTTGGGCGGCTGGATGCCTTGGATGATCGCCGCATTTTGCCACGTCTTGGCGTCGGGAAGGGATGCGTCAGGGAGCGAAGAAATTGCGTCAGAATAGATGCAGCTGAGCTCCTGGACCAGGAGTTGAGAGAGGGGGGATGGAAAACGTTGCCTTCGTCTGGGTGCAACCGGATGGAGAGCTCCGAGGGATTCAAGCCACCCAAACATCCAGAGATGGCAGCTTTCCGCTGCACAGAGGAAGACGAATACCCGAGTCTCTCTCACCTCGCCCCCGGAAGTCCATAGCCACGCGAAACCCTAGCCGCACTAAAATCTAACGGTTTGGATGGTATATTCTAAGATATCCTTTAATCCAACGGCTGTGATGTAGTTACGACTATAATAAAATGCGTTTAAAAGTTCATTCTCATTCACTATTTCTAGCTTGTTGGCTAGTGTCTTTCTTGTTCAAATGGTGAGGAAGGCTTGCATATGCTGGCAGGGTCATCAAGAATTCAATGGCACAACATTGTGTGTGATTGTTTGGTATATATGATCGAATTGGTAAGGTCAATGGCATGTTTGTGCTGTTTGTGTGCTGGAGCAAATCAAATATATATCTTCCCTTCCACAAAATTTGATTGCATGACTACAGTGGAGATGCACCTAAGTTAATACTTTTTAATGATCTGTTTGATCAATCTACAAGGGACTTTTCCCTTTTCCTTCTATAGATATAGCTCACTATAATTTTTTAAACATGTACACTGCAAGTTATAGTTTTAGATTTCTATGGTGTAATGTCACCCAGCTCTCAGTAAGCTCCTCCCTCTAGCTCACCAAGACATTTTGCACTCCTTCTCCAGCCAATAATAAAAAAATAAAATAATAATATTTTCCTTTCACTTTTAGATTCCTACAGTGTAATGTCATGCCCAGCTCTCAATAAGCTCCTCTCTCTAGCTCACCAAGACATTTTGCGCTCTTTCTCCAGCCAATAAAAATAAAATAAAATAATAAAATAATAATAATAAAAAAGGAAAATAATAAAATAGCATCCATGTTCAGGAGGCAACTCTAAGACTGTACTGTCCCTACTTGAAAGGATGAGGCGGATTGGGAATTGAACCTAGCAACCCTATATAGTAGAAGAACTTATGCTATAACGACAAAACCTTGAACACTGGGAGATAATAAAATATAGTTTCAATGCCTCTTATTAGATTTGGAATGCAAAGGAAGATTTGGAGTCCATTTGACTATTTATGTGGCACGTTTTAAATGTATGGTAGTGATAGTAGTTTGAAGCACAAGTGACCATCTGAAACACTAAGGTTTTTACCCTAAAACCCTAAACCCTAAACCCCAAAGAAATCAAACCCATCAAGATAGATTACTGTAAATAGGTAGTTAAAGTGGGGTAGCTACTGTTGACTGGTCACATAACCCTCCTCTCTGTTGATGTTCTTTATTCTGTTGAAAGGGCATGATCGTGTAAATAAAAAGATTTCACTATGCACACAAAGTGTCGAAGCTAGTCTGCCTATACTGGCCCAAACTCAAAGATCAATAATTGAACAATATTAAAATCATAAACAATGATATCTTAGAGTTTTAATTATCAGTGAATAAAGCTTAGATTAGAACACAAAAGTAATCCAAGTAAGTTATCATCCAATAAACCAATATAATAGTATAGAAACCACCTACAATCGTTCCTTAGGTATGGATTTGGTTACCTTTCTGTACCGTAATAATGTGAGCTTGCTCTTGGGCTCATAAGAGGGATTGAGTTGTTCCATTTGCACGAGTTTGCACTTGGGCTCATAAGTGAGGCACATTAGCAACTCAAAGTTACACTTTGAGTTGGCAGGATTAATGTTAGCTTATTAGTGGTTCCATAAGTTGTTCCAATGGTTCTATGAGTTGTTCTATGTACCATGGGGGAAAGTAAACCTTCCTTAGGTTTGCTATGAGTGGCAAATATCTGGTTTGTAGTTGTTTAGCATGGCACTAGTGGATCCTTCTTAGGCATGATTATAAATGAACCAATCAAGGTTACAGGGATTAGTCTATTGGTCCATTGGAAATGATAGTTTTACAAGTGGCAAGTTATGGGATGGATAGCGGTGAAGCACTAAACCATTTTATTTAGGCTTGTTATTGAAGATTTGGGTTACAATGCTTAATTCTTTTCTAGGGAACCTTGTTATTGCTCCTTGAGTAGCTTGGTGTTAGATTAGTTTTGAGTTTGGTCAGATAGAGAATGGCATGAGTTTGTTCGTGTTGTGAATAAAAATTAGTGGTGTTGGGTGTTGTAAATCTCTATCGGTGGAATGTGGCATTTATGTTATATTTTATCGAATCGAGTTGACATTTGATATTCACATAAACCTTAAAAGTAATGACATTAGCAGTTCTTGTGGTGTTGCTCAATTAATGATCAAGTCTTTGTGATTTCTATATCATATCCATGTGATAGTGAGCAATGTGTTTATGAAGTTGCTTGGTTAAACGATGATCAATCCCAAAGTGGTTGATAGTGAAGCTAGTCTACTTGCATATAGTAGCATTGAAGTAGCTTTGACTAAATTTTCAATGGTGTTCAAGGCTTAAGCATACTATGGGTCATGAGAATTTGTGTTGAGATGAAACTATATGAAATTGTTAGCAGGAGGAAGTTGGTTAAGTTTTGAAAGTTTATATTCCTAGATTGAGAGTCATTCTTTCTCTAGGATGGAAAATTTTCCACAAATTTTCTTAGACTTTTCCAATAACTGATCTATTGATCACTTTGCCTGAAAACCATTCCATTTTCGTAAGTCAGTACAAACTAGTGAAAGGGTTAGAGTTGACTTTGGTTGGCTTAGACCTTAGTAAGTAGTTTGTATGATGCAGCTTGAAAGAAATGATGACTTTTGGGGCTAAGGCAATTGAGTTGGATAGAGTCTGGAGTTGGTATAGAAAAGTGGCCGTTGCACTTTTCTAAGAAGGGTGACCCTTATGCCTTTCTTCTATAGCGTTTTATTTAGTGGCAGGTTGCACCTTGCATTTTGTTACACTCTATGAGAGTAGTGAGCTCTTATTGATCTTGACTTGGTCTTGGTAGCTTTGCACCTTGGCTGAGGATGGTGATGTCCAACTTAGTTATTGAGTTTAAGATGTTGGTACCCGTATTATAGCTTTATCTAAGAAGAGGTTGTGTACCAATATGAGTGCATCTCATGGTCTTCACTTTAGTTTTGATTGAGTGTTGATCATGTATAGCTAGCCTCTTCAAGGCATGCTCAGAGCTATTGGCTAAACGTGTTGATGAGCTTATTGCGGTTGAGTTAGATTCAAGTTGTCATTTAGTTTGTGATTGTCCATAAACTTTTATCTCATGCCTGGGGTATTATGTTCATATTGGCCAAGTATATAACTCAATAACATGAGTTTAGTGTTTGGATCTTGTGAAGGTAAGTTGAAAGAATGATTATTGGTTGCTTGGCAACTAGTGATTGCTTGTAGACTTTGTCGAGAATTGTTAGACACTTGTTGCGCTCGATGAAGATTTAGCATTGATGGGCTTGCTTTACCAGATGGTGTTGCGGAGGATCGTGTCATTAGACTTGCATGGTTTTTCCATGTTGGCATGTTGATTCCTTTGTCGATATCATTTAGTTATGTTTGGTCTATAGTATTGGATTTTATTGAGTTTTGGATGTGGTGAATCACTCTTTGATGATGTGTTATTTGAAACTGAGTATTGTTGAAGGATTAGTCTTAGATACTAACTAAGGTATTATAAACAACCAAAGGGAACGACTCAAGAGACGGTCTATGGGGTTCAAATATAGAGGGAAAGTGCCCATGAATAAGAGTGTACCCCCTTTTTCAATCAATTAATGGTTTTGGGATATTTGGGGTTAAACGTCCTTGGGTTTGAATAGTATTGGGTTGGGTGACCTCTCCGGAAGTCTAAACTCAGGAGCTTACAGGTATCTTCATGTTTAGTTAGCTTGGTTGCTAAAGAGCTTTGAGTGGTGATTCACTCTTGCTTTCTATTTTTCTGTAGGATTAATATTGAGTTTCATTAGTCTCAATGCAAAGTGTTAATGTTTGGGCTATAGCTTTGTGTTATTGGCATTTGGTGCATTTTCTAATTAGCAACTGTATTGACGTTTAAATGAGCTGAGTGGCAAATTGAGTTAATTGTGTTTTAGACGAGATTGTTTAATAAAGGTTGAGCTTTAGCTTTTCCTTGAAAAGTGATATAGTCGTGGACTATACTAACTTTATGAGAGGATGAATTAGTGATCGATATTGAATATTT